AAGAGGCCTGGGCCCAAATAAGAAGGGATATAGGTCTTGGCTAAAATCTTACCTTGAAGAGGCCTGGGCCCAAATAAGAAGGGATATAGGTCTTGGCTAAAATCTTACCTTGAAGAGGCCTGGGCCCAATGAACTAGAGTTGTGGGCCTGGGCCTAATGCTTACCCTGAAGATGTCTAGGCTCAAAAAAGAAGAGATACGGGCCTGGGCGTAAACTGTACCCTGAAGAGGACTGGGCCCAATTAAGAAGAGGTAATGTCCTGGGGCTAATCCTTATCATGAAGGCCCTAGGCCCTAGGAATGAGAGATGTGGGCCTGTGTAATTCCCTTAAACTGAAGATGCTTTTGCCCTGAGAAGAATAGATGAGGGCCTGACCCACCTCTATCCATAAAGAAACTTGAGCCCATAAGAAAAAAGGATGTTGGATTGAGCCTTTCAAACTGAAGAACTTGGCCTTTATAAATAAACTTGTGACCCATTACCTGTTCAAAAACATGAGGACACCCAGAGCCATAAAACGGTTTTTGGACTGGGAAATTCACTAAGCTTAAGAAGACCTTGGCCTGAATAAAGAAGAAAAGTTGGACTGGATCTACACTTGTCTCTGAAGAGGTCTAGGACCCAAAAAGCATCCTAGGCATAGACCAAACAGAGTCCTAGGAACACTGGCCCAGATCCATTCTCCCCGGTCAGCCCTGGACATAAAGAAGAGTGCCAAGGCCCAGACTGAAGCGAATCTACCCTTTGTTTAGCCCGTGTCCCACGAGGCACACTGGGCCTAGACCTGATTTTCAGCGATTTTACAACCAGCTCAGTCATCGATGTGGACACATCCCAGCTCGTCCATCCAGAATCTGGGCCTCGGCTACACTGCTCCCTTTCTGAGCATACTGGAAGCTGATGTGCTCAACGAAAGGTGTGCGGATCACACCCATGGACTTCATGCGATGCAGACCACACCCTCAGCCCGTGTAAGCATGTATGAACCACCGCCGTAATGTGCCATGGGCTCACGGAAATGATATATCAATACAGACATAGCATACAAAAAAGAGAGTCATACTGTGCCTGCCACTGCCTGAGGCATGCATAACCTTACCTTGAACTAAAAGGGATCTTAAACTGAGATCTTTAGGAATGAACAGATCTCAAATGTAACTCACGCAACAGCCTGAGTTGGAAATGGACGCCCCAATAACCAGGAGACCTGGTCTCAAGCCAGGCGTCATCTTCATGCCAACTTTTTTGACCACACCGCAGCCTCATCTGTGACCCAGGCCATGCCATGTTCACCAGGACGATTCGAATCTCCACCAGTGAGAGACATCAGATCATAGACCATGAACTCTGATCAATAAGGAGATCGTCTGACAGCTCCTTCTGGTTCCGTTCTGTGAAGTTTGCGGGTTATATTCGTAATTTTCCCAAACAGGCAAACTTCTCACAAATGTGCCAAGGCAGCATCGTGGCTTCGAAATTATCTGGACCGCACGTGAATGTCAAACGACAGGGACACAGCTTGGAATGGAGGGTGAGTGGGCTGCACCCAGGAAATCCTCTGTGTCCATGTCAAGAAGAACAGTTTGATCTTTGGTTTGATTTTGACATGTACTGTTTCTTCACACTATAACACCTTGAGTTCATTGTCTGAAGATTAAGATAAGTTCAAAGACAATTACCTGACATCAATGTTGGCCTGCAACCTCCCTGATTACCAGTAAGTCAAGTCAATGTCAAATTTATGGTGTATGGGCCACTCCCTTTCTTTACAAGACCTAATATTTTCTGACAGTAAGAGAGCCAAGACTAGAAACCATGACTCTAATTTGAGAAGGACCCTCTTTCCTTAGTGATAAAAATATGGTCATAACTCAATATCAAGAGTGATTACAAGGCACATAGCCCTACCATGACTTTAATTGATTTTTATCTGAGTCTAGACTCTATTCACCAAACATATGAAATTCAGAAATAAGGCTTCCTGAGTTGATGACAGACTTCAAATGGCTAGCAATGTGGGCTGTGGCTCACTTTCCACCAAGGTACCTGTGTCAAGTTTGTAGTCTCTTCCTCAAATCCAAGAGATATTCTCACCATGGAGAGGACTCAGGAGTACAAAACATGGCCTTCATCATGTATGATAGCCCCCAGAGACATAATCTGGACAATTTTGACACGATGGGTGTGTGGGCTGCACCCAGAAGCCATCTTGTACCCCATTGTCTACAAGAGATCCAGGACAAGTGATCATGTTTGTGTTGGCCAACAACACAGTCAGAGAAAAATAGAATTACCAGAGTTGGTGTTGTGGTATGTGACATCAGCCTCACAAACTTCCAGACTGCGGTCCCAATCTTCATTTCCTGATATATCAGTTTTCCTACCTTCTCATTGCTGACTTTGTCCCTCAGCCTGACCTGATTAGAAACATCAAATAATCCATTGGTTTAAGATGACATGATCCAGGAATACAGATATAACTTTAATAAACATGTGTAATGGAAAACCCTGAAGTTCTTCCTATTTGGTGGCTATTCAAAGACTAGACATGTGTTCCTATGTTTCTTCACAGGAGCCCTCATAGAAGAAGCCAGATTTATAACCTGATGACTACAGATCCCTTATAGGTCTAAGGCCTTGTAGTAAACAGTCTTACTGTGAATGTCATTCCTACATTTTGTATATAGTTTTGAATAAATATGTATATGTACTATTATGGTTCACCTTGAAATTTCTATTTGGCCTTTCCCTTTTCCTGAAGATCAGTGAACATCCATCCATGGTTTGTGTCTTTGTCATTTGCAGGAATTGCTTTAAAAACCAAAAATTTAGTGAAAGGGGCCAAGTAGGCCAGATACTTCACCTAGCAATAAAAATCACTGGGATGAAATTTCTAATTTGGAGGGGCTGCTCCCAACTCCATCTGGTGCCAAAATCTGATTCAAGTTGCTGAGGAAGGTGTGGGAGGCAGAGGAGTAACTGAGGTTCAGTGCGGATCACAGGACACCAGCATCTGGAAATTGTCCTTCAGTGAGACTCCACGTGAGGATGAATGGACTCCCACTGACATCCTCTGCATGGTGCCACAGCACAGTCAGGTACAGTTCCTGTCAGAGGAACAGTAAAATGTGCTCTGCTCCTTCCATTAGAGGCCCTGGAGGCTGACCTGTTGCATCTCTGGACTTGCCCCTCATGGTCTTTGAAAGCACAAGTTGCAGCTTTTTTGATGAGTTCCATATTGTCATAGACACGGTTGAGGGTGTCTCCTAGAAAGCACATGGTATCTACACCCAGGAAACCACAAAATATGGGAGCCTAAATGAAGCAGAAAGATGGACAGTCCCATTGGACATGCTTTTGTGGGTGGAGGAAACCTCATGGGGGATACAACCCGACAGAGAGAGCTATAGGCAACTGAGGATTGCTGATAGAGAACTAGATGTCCCTAGAGATGAGTCCTCCACCTGATTATCCAGTATCTAGTACTCAGACCTGACATCTGTACATGCAAGCATCACTGAACAGGCACAGCCAAATGGTGTCATAAATTTATGCATTTTTCTAAAAATATATATCAGTAAGAGAAAACATCCCATGAATTTTCGGGAAAGAGAAGGAAAAAGATATGAGAGCAAGAAGGATAGTACAAATGGTGAGTTTTTATTTTCAGTTTACAAATTATAATTGTAAAATTTTAGGAACTATTTAATGGGAGATTTTGACCATGTTATATACTGAATATTGTAACATTCATGCAGTGAATCAGACTTCCTGTGTAGGTATTGTATTTCAACACTCTTGTCTCTACACCTAGATCTCTCTTCTCCCAAGGAGACACAAACACAGACATTGCAGCATCATGTTAGACATGCAGGTTTTATGGTGACAGGGAGAGACATCTCGAGCCTTTAAATCAGCTGACATCAGGGCATAAACTCTATCCTCTCCTACAACCCCTCCACCCATACATTTCCACAAGCCCATTTCTCATAGTAAACCAATGGCTACTATGCTGCCTGCATCTGGAAGGAAAGCAACACAGAGAGAGGACCACAAGCACAGTCAGCTTCTCACTGGAGCAGCAGAACCATGGTCAGCCTTTTGTTTCAGATTTGTACAGGTACCTGAGTGAGTCAGACTCCAGAAAGCCAGAAATTGGCCTATAATTTTTTTAATTTCCTATTTCAGTGACCTGAGAACAATTGATTCAGATATGACATTCAACTATTTTCCCATGCTATGAATATACTTAAAATGCTTTTTTAAATCTTTTTGTACTTTAATCACCTTTATAGCTGTGAAATATACAGTTCTTGTGTTTTAAAAGATTTTTTTTCTGTCTCTGACTAATGAAATTGTCTTTTGTAACTTAAAGCCGCAACCTCTTTATTAGGCTGGGTCACCTGTCTCCTAGGCTCACTCGCTGCCCAGTATCTTTACATTGTATTTTATCTTCTGACACCTCCTATTGGAAGAGAACCCGCATGCAAATGAGCAGTCAGGATGTATTGTACAAGAGAAGAATAAATAAAAAGAAAAAATTCCTTCTTCTACCATAGGATATTTCAAAAGTTGCAGGGACACTGGTCGTTCCATGTGGAATCATATTTCACGGTAAAAAAACAACAGTCATAGTCTAATGAATTTTTTATCCAATAAATTTTTTCATTTATTTTAATCCTGGTCACAGTTTCCCCTCCTTTGTCTTCTTCTGTTCCCTCCCCTTTATCTGCCCCATTCACTCCTCCTCTTTTCTGTTCAGAAAGGGGTAGCCACCCCCCGTAGGTGTCAACAAAGCATGGTATATCAAGTTGAGGTTGGACTAAGCTCCTCCGTTTGTATTAAGACTGGGAGAGGCAACCCAATATGATGAATAGGTTCTCATGCACTAGTTCAAGTGTAAGGGACAGGCCCTAATCTCACTTCTAGGTGTGGGACCAAGTGTAGAACACGCTACACAACTGTCATACATGTGCAGAGTGCCTAGGTCAGTTCCATGCAGCCTCCTTAGCTGTCCGTGGAGTCTGTGAGCTCCCAGGAGCGCAGGTTATTTGTTTCTGTGGGTTCCCTTGTGACGCCCTTAACCCCCGCTGATACAGTCTTTCCTCTCTGTCATCAACAGGATCCCTGGAGCTCCTCAGCCCAGGGCTTGGCTGTGAATCTCTGCCTCTGCCTCCATCCGTTATTGGATAGAGTACTTTAGATGGCAATTAGGAAAGTCACCAATCTGCTTGCAGTAGATGGCCAGTTCAAGCACCCTCTCCACCATTACTAGGAATCTTAGTTGGGGTCATCCTTGTGGGTTCCTGGGAGTTTCCCTAGCACCAGGTTTCTCCCTAACCCCGAAATGGACCCCCCCATCAAGAAGTCTCTTTTGCTATTCTCCCCTCCATCCTGTCTCCACCCAGTCTCCTGCACCCAGCCCACCAAACCTGCTTCCTCTAGTTCCCACCCCACCATCCCCCAACCACACCCCTCCCAGTTAGCCCAGGAGATCTCTTCTATTTCCCCTTCCCAGGGAAATCCGTGAATCCCTCTTTGGGCCTTCCTTGCTATCTAGCCTCTCTGCGTCTGTGATTTTAGGTTGATTATTCTGGGCTTTACTCCTAATAACTGCCTATGAGTGAGTATACACCATGTTTGTCTTTCTGGCTCTGGTTCCCTCTCGGAATAATTACCTGGAGACAATGTGGATGCCCCTCAGCCGAAGAATGGATGAGGAAAATGGTACATTTACACAATGGAGTACTGCTCAGCTGTAAAACGCGATGACCACTTCTTGTAAAAAGTATTTCCACATAAAGCAAAAGCATAGCAATTGAAAACTGACTGCTATTTTAACACTACACCATCTTGCCTTCTTATAATAAAATTTTACACTGTTTCTCTCTTTCCCTCTACCCCTTCCTATTCCTCCCTCCCCGACCCTCAGTAAAGAAAAATGAGCTTAGGGTCTTGCCACAGCCCTCGCCCCTTTTCTCTTTGGTTGTCCATTTACTTCCCCACAGAATTTTATTTGTCTGTGATTGGTTTTTATATTTGAAAGTCTGATTACCTTACTACACAATTCTACAATAAAATATGTATTAACATTAAAACATTTTCTGTGACCATATGTCTTTGTGAAATTTTCTCATTAGTTAATACTCAATTGATCAAAATGACAAAACTTATGAAAACATTTTTAAAATAATTTGTCAGAAACTTTCAAGTTTGAGAGGTGTACCTCTCAATGACTGAAGGAGCCTTCTTTAATGCACACACACGCACACACACACACACACACACACACACACGCACGATGTTTACTGGTCTAGAATGAGACAATGTTTGGCATTAATGCTATTCTTGTTTTTTCCCCTTGGTTTGGCCAATGCTGGCCTGGAACAATCTTTTCCACATAAATAAGTCAGCAGGAATGGGAACAATCTTTCTATGGTGATGCCAGCCAGTTCTTTGTGCTCCTTTAAGATAAACACCCCAGACGGTATGGAGTTCTAGCGTTAATTTTTAATGGTCATTAGTGGATACACCTGCCTTCCTTTTGTTGAAAACAAGATGATGGAACTGCTTGGTTTGCAGAAGGATTCCCTAGCCAGCCGCCAGAGCCTGTCTGCCTCTCAGTATCTGGATGTGTACCCAAAACCGTTATCAAACGACTATAAATTCAGCCCTGACTTGAGTAGCATTCTGCTTTAGCTAATCCGTCTAAAATGTTTGGGAAATTTGAAATATTGTGAGTTTAGTAGTTTAATAGTTACTGTGAATCTGTTTCTAAAATGTCCTGGTTAGTTTTTATTGTCAAGTTGATATAACCAAGAGTGTCCTGGGAAGAGGGACCTTCAACTGAAAAACAACCTTCAGTTGATCAGATTGACCTGTGGGCATGTCTGTGAAGCAATCTGCTAGACAGATAAGGATGTAGGAGAGTCCAGGCCACTGTGGGGGGCACTATCCTGGGCTGCATAAGAAAGCTAACAGAGCAGAAGTCAGGAGCAAGCTAGCTTTTTGTAATCCCCAAGACACTGGGTCCTTGGGTCCTGTGAGGGATCCAGAGTCTTGGGGATTAGAAATCGATGCCACTTCAATTTCACCCACTCTTCTCTGAGTGACAGACTTGGGATAGTCCTACAGAAAAGAAAGCTTCTGCCCTTGGGGGCTCTTTCAGAACATACAACCCCCAAATGTGCTACTTCAGCATAAGAAGTGTTTTAAGCTGAAGACATGAAACAAACAGCAGGTTCAAGAAGATCGCTCTGACACGTGCTGCTTTCAAAAGACAAAAATGGAATTCCCTTTCGGAAGTCCCCACCCCACCGCACCTACCCCTTACCATGAAGACAATGATGTTCTCGTCGTGATGGCAGATGAAGCCGAGGAAAAGCTGTACAAACCCTTACGTTCCTGCTCACTTCTCTACCTAATTGTCTTTGCTCGCTGTCTTATTTAGGGTTCCTATTGCCATGAAGAGACACCATGACCACAGCAACTCTTATAAAGAAAACATTCAATTGGTTTGGCTCACTTACAGTTTACAGATTCAATCCATTATCATCATGACAGGGAGCGTGGCAGCATGCAGGGGACCTGGTGCTGGAGTTGAGAATGCTACATCTTGCAAGCAACAGGAAAGTCAGCTGATACTCAGGGCAGTTTCCTGAGCATAGGAAACCTCAAAGCCTGCCCCCACAGTGACATATTTCCTCTAACAAGGCCACACCCACTCCAAC